CGCAACCCGACAGCGAACCAGTTGAGCCGGTCGTTAATGGTTATTGATGGGCACGCACATTGCGTGCGTGCAGTTGGTCAGGAGGGGTACCGTAACTGGCCTCTTTTAACCGACAGATGGGATGGGGGCTGTAATAGCCTATCAATAACCAGCCTTTGCAATTAACGGCCGCCTTTTGGCAAAAGGATATCGCACCTCAAGCTACAGTACTATCCGGGGGCCCAACCCTGAAGATTCGACTGCACAATTTGCAAACTAAAACCGCTCCGGGCCTCACGGTTCGTGACTGTGGGATAAGTGATCGGAGATAACCTTGATGGGGGCAAGCAATCCCGGGTAGTACGCATATTCCAACACACTACTTTATGAAAACTACTGCTACGTGCGGTGTACTTAGACATTGTCTAACGCGTCACGTTTTCGTGTTCGCAGAACTATGGCTCGGAGTAAGCGAAAGAGGACGCGCGAGGAACTCGAGGAGGCCCTGCACGAGAACGAACGCATTAACGCGACACCCATGCGAGAGGAAAAGGATGCACGAAAACGACGTCAGACCAAGCGCAGGAAGAAACGATACGACTTGAACAAAGAGCTGAAGGCCCTCAGCGTACACCAAGACGAGCCAGACGTCACAGAAGCGACGGAAGTTCCGGCTCATCGTATTGAAGATCAGGAGGAGAAGACGGAAGAGTCCGATCCTGCGGTACATCAGCGCCGGTTTGCGGCCCAGATGGAGGCAGCATATATAGCGGGTGCCACCGAAGTGGCTTCATTGGCAGTGCCTGTGTAATTGAACCAACGATTCGAGAGGATGTCGCCATCTCGGCTGCGCAACGGGCTCGTGAGAAACGAGCTAACAGGACACTATCGCAGAAAGAGCGCGAGCGTGCCAGAGCTGCACAGCGAGCTCGCACACGACGAGCAAACATGACACTCTCTCAGCGTGAACGTACTAGAAACAAAGACGCTGAACGTCAACGCTCCCGTAGAGCTAGGCTACACCAAGAAGAGCTTCAGGGACGACGTGATCAAGATAGAGCTCGCCATCGAGCAGTTCGTGAGACTTTAAGTCAGGAAGTCCGCAATTCCATTCGAGAGATCAATTCTACATCTCGCGCTGTCCATCGCGCAGCACATTCAGTACAAGAGCGGGTGGCAGACCGTGAACTAGACCGACAACGGCAATGCAATCGACGAGCTGGGACGACAGAAGAAGAGCGCCAGCAAGATCTAGAGCGGGTGCGCACTAGACGCCAATGCGTCCGTCAAGGCCATGCTCTTATTTCCTTCGAAGACTTCGACGCGTCCATGATAACGGGTGACGACGTTGTGAACGGCCGGCACAAGCTTCCGGCAACAACGGTTTGTCCGATCTGCAATGCTTGGAAGTGGCCAGGCGAGTCTGCGATATCATGCTGTCTGGGAGGCAGAGTAAAGCTGCCTCCACTGCACCCCGCGCCACGGAAGCTGCTTCAGCTGTACGGAGATCCCGAGTTCCGCCGTCAAATTCGTGCTTACAACCAAGCCTTCGCGTTTACCTCGATTGGTGCTTCATGCTCAAACCGATCGTTTCAAAACGTACGTCAAGACGAGAGCGTTGCGGGTACACACGGGGTGTACACATATCGCATTCAAGGGGCTATGGGGCACTACCTAGGATCTCTCCTCCCCCACATAGACCGTCGGACAGGCGCGCGAGTAGCACCCAAGTTTGCGCAGATCTACATTGTGGATCCAGACATGCAACGCCGCGCGGAGCGACGTCTTGGTATATTCGCGGATCTGGATCGTGTTGCACTACTAGACATCGAGAAAATGATGGCAGAGCACAACCCAGTAGCGCAACGGTTCCTCCACTTTGGGCAGCAAGTGCGTCAACACAACACGGAGACTCCAGTAGACTTGGTCTTCCGTCTGCATGATAACTCCTCGCGACCAAGGACGCATAACCGCCCCACTGTGTCTGAAGTGGCTGCGACTCTCATTGAGGATGGCAACCTGGCTCAGCCTCGGGATCTACTTCTCTTTACACGCGATCAAAGGCTGCTACGTTTGTATGAGACTCACGCCGATTACGATCCACTCCAATACCCGCTTCTCCTTCCATATGGAGAGAAGGGCTGGACCTACACAGACGAGTTCGCGAATGGTGCTGAGTATCGAAACAAGAAGGCGATGTCGCTTCGTGAACACGTCGCGTTCCGCCTCCACCAAAAAGTGGAAGATCAGTCCGCTCTCCACCAAGGTGGGCGTCTATTTCAGCAGTGGTGTGTAGATCAGCGTGCAAAATATGAGCAAGAACAGCTTCGCTGGGTGGCCGACAATCAGAAAACACTACGCGCCGATCAATACAGGGGTGTTCAAGACGCTTGC